AATCTGAATATATGCTTATTATTTTATTATAGAAGGCAAATCTGAATATATGCTTATTATTTTATTATAGAAGGCAAATCTGAATATGACCGTTCGAAGTTAATTATTCAGTTAACATCACCTTTAGAACACTTTGGAGAGGGGGTGGGGAGGGGGTAAAATGTAACGAACATATAAAAATGTGCCAATTTCATTGGTATACGTAAATCAAGTAATTAGCGAGAGTTATCCAGCGTTTTGATTGGTTGTTCGTTTTTCGGGGAAGGCTTCGGCGGAGGGATGTTAACCGAAAATCAACTCGAACGGCCTATATGCTTATTACTTTAATATAGAAGGCAAATCTGAATATGTGCTTATTATTTTATTATAGAAGTATTATAATACTGTAATTTTGTTTTAAATTCTTATGCTGTATTTAAATATTTAATAGCTTTAAAGTATTCATAGAAATTATTTTAATAAAATCTAATTTTAAAAGAGTGGCAATCAAATATAATTTTATAAGAATGGCTAATTACGATGTTAATCTTTCTAAAATTCTTATTAATTGAATATTGTGAGATCTTCAATGAAATTGTTTGTTATCAATAATTTTTTTTTAAATTTTTGCGAAACAAGATCCAAAATGAGAAACAACAAATATTTATAAACCTGAAATAATTATTGATTGACTTTGATGATTTACAATAAATTATCATCACAAAAAATTACTAGGCAACATTTTATAAGTTCATTGAGTTTGACCTAACTTTTCTGTCATTAAATTTGACTTTGAAACGTTTTTATCATTGAAAGTCAAGAATTAAGATTAAATTTTAAAATTATTGTTTTAATTGTTTCAAAAAAAAAAAAAAAAAATCTTGTTAGGTAAATTTTAAATAGTAAATTTTAAGCTTGCGCCTTTATTCATTATTTCAATGAAATTTCGGAATTTTTTTTGACATTTAATCATGTGCTCTGTTTCTGCGAGTCTAGACCCTGTACTAAACCAAAAAGGTTAATCAATAAGGGTCATATGAACATTGATTTTCCCATAACCGAATAATGTAATAATTTAAATCAATATTTCATTTTTGTTAACATTTATTATCATCATCTATTATTATTCAAGTGTTTCTTAACCCAAGTCTTTAAAATGGTAGATTCCCACGCACATACCTTGCAAAATCTAAGATATTCATTCTTTTCTTCAAGCAAACCGAATGTAATGTAATATATTGTGTAACAATCCCAATAGGTTTCAAAACAATACAGCTTGTTGACTATTGTGTCGTTCACGGAAAAATACAAAATAAACTCCGGATTCAATGCAAAGACATATGATTACCTTATTTTGCCTAATACATGTGTTAAAACATGCATTATCTAATCTATCACATGGTTTTTTTTCGACATACGTACGCCTCTTACAATATATATTGTGAACATGCAAGAGAACTTTGTACTTTTACTGTTGTATCGTACAGACCTTATCCACCCTCGCTTCTACGATTAGTTTATTATTAATGTCGCTTTTACTCAAGCTAATTCCTCATCATACTCTCTTTTATTAGAAGATTTTATCGCTTTAAAAATAATATAATGCAAGATTGTATCCGGAAATAACTTTATCCGGTTACACGCATTCAGTATTTAGCATAATTAATCGTCTCATCTAATAGGTATACGAATTCAGATTAATGACATAAAAACACCTTCAGCTCTACAACATACTAAAGAAATTTGATAATCGGAGAAGTAATTCGGAAGTTAGACGAGTGGTATGTTTAGACGTTATAATCTAGTCAATAAGAATAAATATATTTATGAATTTATTATTGGTAATTTATTTTCAAAAGATCTACTTTGCTAATTTATTTTATTAATAATTTATTACCAGTAAATTAGATTGGTGGCACGAAACAATGAAAGTTAGATTATAGATTTCACGAAAGGTTAACGTTAAAACATAATATTACGTCTATGAGTATTGGTTTAACTAGACATTATAGGTTAAAACTTTTATACATTTTACATTATTTATTAGTCTTCTAAAGTAAAAGTTTATATACTTTTTATTTTAGGCCATGCATTACCCGACCGACCCATTTTTTCAATTTTCAATTTTCAATTTTTTTATTTCTTTTAAAATCCAATTGTAGTCAATTGTCTGATTTTTGCCATCTGCCATTTTTTTATCGATGTCATCCGATGGATACCTTAATCTCCCGTAATTATCCGATAGAACCGATAGGAAAAAAAAACACTTTTTTGACTCCTTGTTATGTGGGACGTTTAAAGCGGAGTAGATTCTTATATATATTTTATTGCACTAACTTTAGGGTTAGGACAGGTTTTAGCTATATATGAATTCTGCCAAGGGAAAATGGCACTTTAGATTTTTTAAATAATTTTTTTGATCAAGGATGTCTCAGTAACTACTTGATCAAATTTTATAATTTTTTTATTTGAATTTTACAAATCTGTAGAATTCAAATAAAAAAACTTGATTAAGTAGTTGTTGAGATATCCTTGGTCAAAAAAAATTTCAAAAAAGCCTAAAGTACCCTTTTCCCTTGGTAGTACTCATATGCAAAATTGCCTTCCCGATATTTTACTTAACTCACCCAAGGTTTTTTTTGCATTGCTATCGTCAAGTTTCTATAATTTGATTGGTCGTGTGTCACATGATTCTACTCCGCTTAAGATATGCAAAACTTGTGCAGCCTTAGATTCTATTATCTTATAGTAGATTAAAAAACCCCGACAAACTGACCCAAATTTCAGACTCCATGTAATGCAAACTGAAAAATTAACTTTGCATGGTTATTTGTTATTTATTTTTTATTTTTTATTTATTTTTTTTTATTTTTTTATTTTTATTTTTATTTTTTTGCGCTTTTGCAAAAACATTGTTCTTGACCCACTTGACCTATTTTTATTAACCCCTCAAAAAAAAAAAAAATTCTCATCGTGAGTATTGGATATTGTGGATCGGGATAACAAGTACTATACATCACAATATTACAAAAAATTTGATAATTAAATAAATATGAAGTATCCGCATATCATTCTTTTCAACTCAAACTAACCATTGCAACCAATGTAAAAATGGAAAAACCGAGTGCACTACTTTAATGTGCGTGTCTTTAAAAGTCTTGTAATTTTTTTATGCGTATCATTAATCATTAACTTAATTGATTACATTACTAAAGTTGACGCAGCAAATTAATATAATTAATCTGAATATATGAGTTCCGCCAAGGGAAAACTTATCATTGACTTTAATTATATTTGTGTATCAAGTTTCACTTACCCGATACTATCCGAGTCTCCCTTTATTGAAGCAAAAAAGGTAGGTCTTATATACTTTTAGACCACTACTGCGTACATGAAGACTGTGTTCGCTATTTAAATTACTATGATCGCTATATAAGAAATATACTAATTGTTCGAATTTAACGAACGACATCGTACGTATGACGAAAATTCATACAAAATTGAACGATCTACGAACTCATAGGATGACTTTCGTAAGATTGGCTGTTTAAATCAATTTAATTTTACATTATTTATACAGTTTAAAGTACTTTTTAAAAAAAAATAAAACTACGAAGAATAAACAAAAAAGAAGTATATGGAGGGTTTTATTAGGGTTGTAGGACTTCACTATTAAAAATAATCAAAATTCCTTTTTGTTTTAGAGAAGTTAGCATGGTAATAACCTAATTCTATCTATCTTTAAGAAGTCGCTACTATACTAACTTCTCTAAAACAAAAAGGGATTTTGATTATTTTTAATAGTGGAGCCCTACAACCCTAATAAAACTTTATATATACTTCTTTTTCGTTTATTCTTCGTAGTTTTATTTTTTTTAAAAGTACTTTAAACTGTATAAATAATGTAAAATTAAATTGATATAAACAACCAATCATACGAGAGTCTTCCTATGATATTGCCACCATGTGATGGCTATGGTCACGTTAACCAATAAAATGTAAGGTTTCTACACTTTCATACATTTTCCATGAGAGCGTTCGAAGATTTCAGGATTTCGTGTGGTTACATAATTTTCTTTCATATAAACAAACGAAAACCAATTATACAAAGTAAGAATAATATAGTTCCTGACAAAAATAATGGCAGTCAGTTTTTGTTTGATATTATACGCGTAATCTATTAGTCATACTACAGATTTAGTAAATATTTTAAAAACTATATACTGTATAGTTATAAACCCAATTTTGCTACAGTAAATCCTCTATAAGTGCACGCTCTTGGGACCAAGCTTTATCAATATGCACTTAGAGATCAATAAGAGAAAGTGCATTTATAGGGGCATGTATATATTTGGGTCAGAATTTGAGCATGCATTTAGAGAGGGTGTGCACTTATAGAGGGTGCAGTTTTACTGTATTTTAATTATTGCGCTTTGCGTGATTGCGTTTGTGCTTATAAAGCTGGCCAATTGTCATAAGTCTGAGTTTGTGTAGGCCGAATTTATAAGAACAATCGCAATCACAATTATCAGCAATGGGGTCACAATTTTGCAAAGCATATATTTTATTAGTTAACCGACAAAATGATAGCTTAAAGATTAATATAGTATTTATTAATTATTTAATTATTGTACTGTAGGAATCAAATTTATTAATAAGAAAAACAATCAAAAACAAACCCAAGAGTTAGCCTAATATGTACATAATTGCTAAAGTAAGAATCTTCATTTACATCAGTTCATGCAAGATACTAACTCTGGCGGCTGGAATTAACATTATAAGAATAGTATACAAACAATTCTAGCTAAAAGTATGTTAAAAAGGTTATCTTAATTATAACAATACTATAGAATAATCCTTTACACCTCCTAAATGCATTTTATTGCATCTAGAGGGGTTAATACTGAACTTTTACCGTTTAAAAAACGCCAAGCACTAATTAACCGATCATATTTCAGGCTATCAAGTCCAATTTAAATTGTAATACCAAGGTCTACGTCAAGGGTATTCATTGAAACAGCTTAGAACAAATTTCCACGCGCATCCTGATCACGTTCAATGGCCTCAAATAACGCCTACACCGACAAAGAATCAGACATTAGGAATCGGATAAATTAAGCAATCTAGTAAAATAATATTTGATTTATGAACAAACCTTGAAATTTCCGGCTCCAAAACCTTGATGATTATGGCGTTGAATGACTTCAATAAACAAAGTAGGTCGATCTTGCAATGGCTTTGTAAATATCTATTTGAGTAAATAATTTATTCTGGTTAGTAACGTGTCTAACACCATTTCCTACAACTTAAAATTTAACTTATTTAGCACCTGAAGAAGATAGCCTTCTTCATCGTAATCGATTAATATATGTAATTTTTGTAATAGGTCAATATCTTCGAGAATTTTAGTATTGGATGTAGAAAGGCGTGAACGAAGGTCATCATAATAAGTAGAAGGAATAGTGAGAAATTCTAAGCCACGGGATTTAAGGTTCGTCACACTAGTAATTATGCTGAAAAAATTAAGAATGGTTAATATGTATATAAAATAATTTTGTATTCGAAAAATCACGAAAGCTTACTCGTCTGTTCTTAAGGCAATATGTTGAACACCTGCACTACCTAATTAAAAAAATAGATTAATTTTAGAATTTACAAGATTTAACTTCACAGATAAATAATAACACATACCATAATATTCAATAAATTCTTGAATTTGGGACTTTTTACGACCTATTGCAGGCTCGTTTATTGGCATTTTTATTCTTTCATGATAATCAGCCATTACTACTGAACGCAATGAAGAGTATTCGGTATGGATTTGTTTATCATCGACTGACCAAAAGCGATGAAAGTCGAAAACCTTTTCATACCTATTGCATAAAAAAAAAATCAAATATAAATCAAAAGAACTTATTAAGAAAACAAATAAATACAATAAAATGCGCACATTTCACAAATTTGTTCCATCTCTAAATCAGGTTGATTGCCTACAACATGATCCAAGTATTGTAAGTGTGTAGGTGGTAAGGTCACTTCTAATGGATCCTCAAAGGTTGTCGTAACAAAATTTGGTAGAAAAACGCCATGATAATTAGTCCTTTCAACAAAAGTATGGACTGTGTCACCGTAAGTGCCAACTGTGGCCATTACGACAGTTCCGTATTCATCTGTTTCCTCCCAAGGCTCTCTGATCGGTTTTCCACCTCTTTCTATTGCACCCTTCCATAGACTGCGGGCATCATCAACTGTGAATGCAACATCTTTGACACCGTCACCATGAAGACTTTGATGATCACTCATCAATTTATCGTTCGGATTAAGAGGAGATTGGAATACAAAGGTAATTGATCCTTGACGAACTGCATGAGAAACGATATCCCGACTTCCTGTCTCCAAGCCTTGATAGCCTATATGCTTAAAGCCCAGGCGGGTACAATAAAAAGAGGCAGCTAATGACCAGCAAGCGAAAAACTTCGTATTAAAAATTAAATAAGCTAATTAAATAAACATGTGAAAAGAACATAATAAATACCTTGCTTAGCATTTCCTACCCAAAATTTAACATGATCTAATAAAATTATTAAATTAATAAAAAAATATTCATATTGAGAATAGCGAAAAAACCAATTTTTAAAATTACCAAAGCCCAAGAAGTTTCCAGAATCAAGTTTGGTTTCTTTTTTACTATAACTGGTCATAATTTAAAATCAATCGTTGAATTAGTCAGTCTCGATATTTTATGATGAGAGTAGAGACGGTGATTTTATGGTGATATTTATTATTTTTTTAAATAATATAGGTTAGAGCCCTATTCTATGACGCAGCATACTTAGTAATTACAATAGATGTATTGTCAGCTGACTGCTCCTATGACCCTAAATCGGCAACGGTAGTATTCGTAAAGTTTTTGTAAAGGGGTATCAAATGATTGATTAGTAGTATAAGAAATTGTGCATTTTGTCATAAATTGCTGTTAGTCATAGTTGTCAGTTTTTTTTTTATTAATTATCTTCGCAGTAGCTTTATGTAACGTATGATATAGGTCTGTGACCTGTAGCCAATCGGTAAAATATCCGAAATTGCGCATCTAAGTTTGGTAAACAATCAAAACTATCATGATATTGTAGGTACCTAACAACCGTGGGAAATTTTTTAGTTCTAAATTTGGAATTCCTTTTAAAACAAATGGTTTCTAAATACGTAATTTGTTTACATTAATATATAATTTGCATTTATTACATTACAGTATTACTAATATTTGTTCAACCATTCGCATGTTTCCAATAAAAGCTTCATTTCATTCTCCTGCGCAAATCTTTCAATGTTGGTGACGACATCCATAAAATCCTCTCTACTAATGGTTTGCCGATATGCACCGCCGCAAGTACATTCTCGACAGAAATTTTTCTGAGGAAGATTACATTTTAAACAATATGATTCTTGCTCTTGGTAGCTTTCGACTTGTTCATTTATGGCCTCTAATAAGCTAAATTCAAGTTGCTCCAATTGAAAGTTTTTCTCACAATTGATACATATTGGTGATGTAACGTCTATTGGCTGCACAAGACCACAGCTACATTCGACTTTACCGACTTTTCTTTGACTACCAGAATTATTCGAATCTAACCAAACCATATTAGCCCAAGATTTTGTATAAATAACATTTAATGTTTGAAATATCGGTTTTTGCTCTATGGATTTCACAACAAATTTACAGTATTCTTTAGCAATCTCCAGTTCATTCTTGCTTGTCGCAATTATCATTTTATAAAGGTTACTAAAAACGATTTCAACGCCAGACCTTCTGAGCTCAGCAATAAATTGCATTACCTAAAATTATTGTCATTGAATTATGGTTAAACCAATAAAATAAGCATAATAAAGTGCTACTTGGATACTTACCACTTTACTCATTAAAGTGTAAATAACTCCATAAATATTGCAGTCATAGAAATTTGAATTGACCGTACTAAGCCAAATTTGTAAATCACGAATAAGGATTTTTGCGATTTCGTTTTGTGAATTGGATGCTTCCATATACCAATCTTTAACCATTGATTTAAGTGCCGTAAACGTAGCCAATGGCATCTCATCTCCAAAAAGTTGTATGGATCCTTCATTTTGATTGATCCATGTAGCGCTCAGGATTGTGTTTAAAAACAAATTATTTAGTTGAACCTCGAAACATATGTTCTCGTGTATTCCTGGTGTACTAACAAAACCATAATTTCCGATTGCATCAGAATGATGCAAATATTCAAGATATTCATCTTGTTCACGCCCTCCATAATCTGGTTTGCGACTAGGCGACCACCAGAGAATAATGTCATTTTTAATTAATTTTCTAGCAAATAATACATCCGCAATAAAAATAAAATTGTCATTATTAAGATTACAAAAAGGAATTCTTGCATATCTCGCTTTTTTAATTCTCTGCTTAATTCTTTCTCCAACGAGAAGATATTTAGATATCATAAGCGAAAAAGCATGTCGTTGCCAATCCAATGAAGGCAAATTATCCTTTTCGTTTGAGCTTATATACATCGATGGAAATTCCAGAAGGTTTTTAACTCCTTCCTCAATTAAATTATAATATGTCATTGCCGACTGAACTATTACAATAGTCGACCCATTTCTTCCTTCTTTATATTCTTTAATCACTCTAGATAGTTTTTTCGGAAAAGTTTTTTTATCATCTCTGACGTGTGTGGACACTTCAAAATTGAGTTCTTTATGATAATTAAATACTTCGCTGTCATATTTAGGATTTCTTTCCAACATAGTGGCGTAAGCATTTGGCAAATGTGGCAAATGAGATTTGACTTTACTTTTTTCCACTAAGAAAATGTGTGCATTGTTGCGTACCGTAGAAAACAAGCCATAAATATGACGATCACCTGACATTACGCGGCATAAATATAAATAATTGATTGGATACTCTTCTAAATATGGCGTATTTTGAAAGATTTCTGTTTTTATAATATCTTGTAAACCCATGCCCTTTCGAGGTGCCGATTTGAAAATACCATTTTTTACGCTATCTTTACTTATAATACATCCAATCTCTACTACCGCTCGTTCCAATGACGTGATTCGAGTCTCGTAAACGCCTTCAACAAGAGGATCATTGAAGATATTTAGTAGCAATTTTTGATTCTGCCGGTAAATAAGCTCTGGCATTATCACTTCAAATAAATTGTATCGTTCATGTGTCCCCGGCAACGTTCGGCTTACTCTAGAAATGCTTCCTTTATCATCAATAATTTTTTCCATTTCATTTGGAAGATTCTGTAGCCTATGGTTAATATAAAACTTTTTGGGAACATTGAGACGAATTGCATGCGTTGCACCACCTATTAGAACCCACATACGAAATTCCCCTGGAATATCTGTCTCGGCTATCTGTAAAACTTCCCACCGACTTTTTTGACCACAAAAGCTTTCAAGAAGAGACTTTTTAACCGAATTCTTGTCTTTCTTTTTTTTAGTACTTGCGATTGTTTCTTTACTTTTTTCATCAACTTTTTGACGTTTTGCCGATAGATGATCATTTATTTCAGTATCATCAATGTCTTCATGTTGAGGCTCATCGATTACCATCGATTCTTCTTGTCTTGACTCATCGATTACCATCGATTCTTCTTCTTGTCTTGACTCATCGATTACCATCGATTCTTCTTCTTGTCTTGACTCATCAAAGTATGATTTTCCAATTGGTCTCTTTTTGCATTTTGGTATTGGTACGTTTGAATTACTTGAGCTAGATGTTCCAAAATCTTCAATATCATCCATATAATTTGGCTGATCATCATGAGTGACTGTATCATCGATAACCATATTATCTGTTCTTCTTTCAAACATATCAGTAATACGCCTTTGTTGATTTTTATCACCATTTTCTGCTAATTTTTTGCGAAGCCAATCAGGATGTTTTAACCTCGGAATAGGATTTTCAACGTTTTGTGCTGTTGCAGGAATCGTAATAAGCTTTTGAATTGCAGAACCAAGGCGTTCATAATAATAAGTCCAATCTAAGATATTTCTAATGTCAAAGTCATCCATTTTTGGATCTTTAAGCCATTTTCGTAAATAATGTCTCTTTACATTTTCTTCAACTGAAAATATAGCTATTGGGATCACTCGTTCACTTATTGCCTCCCTTAAAGGTTTAGCCGATATAATGAAGTGACATGTTAACTTAGTGTCTTTGACCATGTCTGTACCCAGAAACTCTACCAAACGTTTTGCAGCCGTAATAGATGTAGATTTTTGTTCACCATAGTCTTCTAGAGAACGTGACATTCCTCGCTTTTCACTAATACTATCTATTAGCTCTTCATCGGAAAGAGTGGCACCTTTTTGTTCAAGTACATCCAAAAAAGCGTTTGCAACTTTTCCAACTTCAGCATAACAATCCTTTAATGTCTCCCCTTTAAGGAAAACTTGAAATATAGATTCTTGAAAGTTTTTTAAAAGTTTGAGTTCGCCACGCCGCTTCACCTCAAATCCCTTCAACTCTTGTAAAGTGCCATCATGAGCAAATACAGCATAACGTTTCTTTAAAAGCTTATTCTCTTCTAAGGAGGAAGGCAAAATCATTGCTCGATATGGCCCATCAACCTCAAAAAATATACTATTTTCTTTACCAATTTCATATTTCCTTTCTTTCTGGGAAAACTTCTGATATTGGTCATTAGTAAACTTTTGGTGCACCAAGTAATTCAGCATTGTACAAGGATATGAAATTGAAAATGTTTTTCCGGAAGATAATTCAAATGTAAAATTTTCCGGGAACGTTGAAGGAAGAATACACCAAATTCCATCCGTATCAAGTTCGAGAGGCCTTCCAATTTTTTCAATCAATTGTCTGGCCATTTGAATAATTTTCGCACCTGTATCACATACTACACCAGCCATTTCCATTGAATACCATCGAGAACCTTTACGCATAACATAACCATAAAAGGAGTTAAGGAGACATTTATGAGCCAGCTGCAATGAGTCATATAAAATGATCATTTTTTTAGCTTCTTCAATCTTTACGAGGTCTTCGTTTTTTGTTGCTTCTGCCAATTTCTTTTTCCATTCTTTAACGTCATCTTTATATTTGTATCTTCGATCACGAAAACTTAAGACTGTATTGACATAAAATGGATTTTCACGCTGACAAACTATGGCTTCTCTTTGTTCCACCTCTGTTTCTTTTTTTCTTTTGTAGACTGTTTGACAATAATCACCAAGACGTTTCTTCAGAAGGGCAGCTTGTTCTTCCAGACTTAAAAGGTAATAAGCACGTCCTTTATCCCCGGGATTTTTTCCTGGAAATATTTCAGACATTAATTGCTTCTTAATCATTTTATACTCATTCGTCTTTGCAGGATAAAAATCTCCTCGCCATGACCAAGTCATTCTTCTATCACATTTTTTTTCAGGGACGTTATAATCGCACCTAATACACACTTCATCAGTGACAATTGAATCAGGTTGGAGTCTATTTGTAAGAATTATATTTGGATACATAGCAGCGACATCTAAATGATAAATTAGAGGTGTTTGCTCAAGTGGTTGCTCTCCTTCTTTAAGAGCTTCTAGAGCGGACACGATTTGCGATCGAACCTTTATATTTTCATGCAACAATTTTATTAATTATTATTTAGATTTAATAAAATTAAAAAAAAATAAAAATATTTATTCTTTACCTCTTCATAATTTGTGATCTCCGATAATTTTTCATCTATAATTTGTTTTCGAATCTATACAAGAGTACGCATAAAATGATTAATGATAAATACTAATGCTTTATAGAGAAAAGCTTTTGCAGTTTAGAATTACTTGATCTCTCCCGCTAAAAGCAGTTTCAACATTTCTTTCTGCATCTCTGAATGTTTCCCAGATTGCAAATTCCAATGAAACATCTATATCATCAATTAGCTAAAATAATAAAATAATAATATTAATACTGTTTATTTAATGTATTTTACATTGGTTAACACTTATAAAAACCTGTTGGATAGCTGCACGATCGATATCAAAGGCGACTGGTATATCCGACCGAAAAACACCAGCCTCTAAGGCATCGACGTGACCTCCAATATATGTTTCATCCTGTAAAAGATGATCTTTAAAGAACACTTCATCATTTTCTTCGTGTTTATTTGGCATTATAATGTTGGCATGGTATGCTTCCACCTACGTCAGCATTATAATATTCTGATTAATATTTAAACTATATCGTGTACCAATTTATAAAATTCATAGAAATTTGGAATAGATTTTAACCATTAATAATGCTTCACATAAAGTCCCAGTTCCTTTTCGCAATATATCATCCGGATTTAATGGGATAATATTACAAAGTGAAAAAATAAATGGATGAATATATTCAATGTATAGATAATACGTGGCCACGGCATCAGAAACAGAATACTGTGCCAACGTATGTGGATCTTCATATGCGAACCTATAATTAAATAAATTGTTAAAAAGTTATTTGATATATATATATATATATATATATATTATGTAAGCATATTTACTTTGTCATGATTTCTGGATCTAGTTCATCAGGATTATAACCCAATTTGGCGTGAGTAACATTCTTTAAGCCTTGACTTCCAACGGGGAGATAGCTATCTCTTTTCACCCAATGTAGGCAATCCATATGCGAACAATGCTTGCTTACATACTCGTCATTTGCATTTTTTTTAAAGCCAATTTCCTATTAAATAAGTTAGTAAGTAATACTGTATTATTAAAAAAAAACATTCAGTGTTTAAAATTATTTTAGATTTATTTACTTTATACATATTAATATCATATTTTGAAGCCCTATCTTCAACATAAGGCCAATCAAAATTGTCACCATTATACGTTACAATTATAGTTGGTCTTTGTTCTTGAATATGTTTGAAAAAACGCTCGATCAGTGCTTTCTAATTATGGTAAATAATGATAATATAAATATTGTATAGCTTAATAACGATAAGATGCCATTTTTAACTTAGTCGACTTTTTTTTTTTTTTGAAAACAATAAATATTTTAGCGATTAGCCATGATGCAAGTATGTATTTTAACTTGCCTCATTCGGTTCGTTAAATATTTTAAAAGATCCTTTGTATTGAGTTGATGGAGAATATTCGATTTCTTCAATATCTTCAGCAACAATTTCACGATTAGTGATGAGGAATCCCTATTTGACAATATTTAATATATAAACCTTTTCTGGATATGAATTCGACAAAGAGCTAGAATACTATATAGTAAAGTACCATGCCATTTATCATGTAAGATATCATCATTATTGGATCGTTGGCAGAGTCAGGGAATTTGAGTGGTTTTTTTGTGGTTTCAATATCATATGCGAGAATAACCGGGTCCCCACGTTGCTTTATGTCTTCACAATGACGCATTATAATCTGTACTCCATCATCTTGGGGTAAGGTCGAGACAGTATACCACTGACCAACTCTATAGCCTTTTAAATAAATGGGTTTATTTGAGTAAAAATTTTAAAAAATCAGCTCGAAATAAATATTATAAGCATTACCAAGGTCCATAGCAGCTCGTTGATAATAAGGTATGTCATATTCACGAAGATCGATAATATCATCCAATATTTTATCTTTTTGCCCTACTTCTGAATATTTACTTCCATAACTATTATAATATCGAAAGTATCAGATAAGCTACAAATATAAATTAAAATTTTAAATAATAATGCTTTCAACAATTATACCTTGAATTATTTCCATATATGTTGACAATATTCAAATTTTTACGATTCTCAGCCGCAATGCGAAAAAGTTGATTTCGCACTGTCACTAATTCCATGACGTTCCAAAACTCGAGTTTTATAAAAATTTGATCACCATTGATTAAATGATTTGCCTACGCAAACATAATTTGATTTCAATTGTATGCGTAAAGATAAAATGAAACACGATTTAAGATGATATTACTTTTTTTAGATCCTGTTTTACTACGTATGATATTTTGTATATATATTGGTCATACTTTCTTCCTAAATATTCTCCAACGGTATGTTCCGTTCCGGGCTATTTGAACGATGATATTAAAAAGTATTATATTAATAGTTAACAGTTAAGCGGCTTTCTAAATCTAATTTTACCTGACATTTCACAAAGAAATATGGATAATAATGGATTGTACATCTGAAATATGAATCGTCTCCGGCTCGAGGCTCTATAAAAAAAAGATCGAATGCCGTTCTACCGGACGAGTGCTGCTTGCTCGATTCAATTGTCTACAGTTTTTTATAGTCAAATTATAATAATTTATAAAATGTTTTATTATAGACATTCAAAAGTTTGTTTCCCTTCAAAATTCGAGGAAAAAAAAAAAGGCCTACTAACTCCACTAATATTAATAAGCCAACCCAGACGCGGAGGACCATTGTCGTATTTTTTGAAACCAAGCGTTTCAAGTATATTAGTTTCTTGTATACTTTGTAAGTATTTCTTTTTTTCTATACTGTTATTTGCGAATTGCTTTTTCCTAAACATTTTCAAAAGTTAGAGAGAGACGCGTTTCAATTTGTGAAACAATAATTTTTATGTATATACTGTATGCTTATGTCACACGGTGATTTTCTAGACTAAATTCTGCGTAAATTTTACCAATTCTGTGATACCATTTTGTAATTTCTACAAATTTTTTTTCCAAGTCTCGTACCGTAATTTGCGGCAAATAGTACCCCGGGTCTCTTACATTCCTAGGAGCAAAATCTTGGTGGGTACTTTGTCAGGTGGAGGGTATTTTATGTGGGGGAGTTTATATAAGGAGAATACTTCAATTGACCAATCATTTAATAGAATTATAACGAAATTGAAAAAAAAGACATAAAAGAAGTCATGCACTATATAAATTGCATCCTAGATATACCCGGGTCTTTTATAATCATGTTTGCGAGGGGGGTACACTAACAAGGGGGTACTATTTGCCGCAAATTACGGTAATTTGTGTTGATGTATTGTCTACCTTTCCGGTGAATTTATGCGAATCTTAGAATTCTATGATATTCTGTGCTACTTTTTTTTAGAATTCTGTGACTAGTGAACCAATCTATTTTAAAAGTTCGACTTTACTAAGTCGACTTGAGTCGATTATTAATTTCGATTTTTAGCCGAAGTCAATTTTATTTTACAGCTATTATTATAATTCCTGGGACATCTGTAAAAATTTGCCGAATGGTTATTCAGCCGACCCGGTGTTAACCTGCGGATACCTCTCGGAAACGAGGTTAACGGTTCAACTAATAACATGGAAAAACCGTGCAGTGGTTTAGTATAGTTAACAAGGGTCGCATTGCACAAAATGCAGTTGCTGTGAGTTATTTTAATACAGAGCCAATTGGATTGTTCAGTATAATGAACTCATTTAACCAATTAAACTATTTTTGCTAAATAAAATTGGCTACTACTATGTGCAAAACAGCCAATTAAGCTTCTGCAAGTGCGCCATTAAAATATAGTACCTGGCTACCCAGACACTACACTGGCAATCATAAGTAGTGCAACAAAAAAAAAAATTTCACTTAGATCATACTACCTCCTGCAATTCCAGGCATATCGGGTAGTTTTTTTTTTTTTTTTTTTTACCAATAGTGCCTTTTTCTAATTTGTTACTTGACCTAAAACCAACAAATATGTTCATGTAATACACATATGGAATTTCGCTCTGCTGCTCACGTAATCCACAGACAGTTCTTAGTATTGCAACTCTTCAAGGTAACCAGATCAACTATCCAGGTTGCCAAAACAAAACTTCATACACCCAAGCCACCTACCCAAACTATCAAACCTTACAAAATCTAAAATTCAAACCCAGATGCAGGTAGGTGGGAACAAAAAGCCAGACTTTCATTGAGCTAGCAGCAAAGACAAAAAAGGAGAACAATTTTTCACACAACTCTTACTTAAACTAGGTATCAGGAGCTGATAGATGTCCGAAGCAAAAATATTGATTACTATAATTTAAAAAAATCATAATCTA